CAACTTTAAATGTTAAACTGCAATTTATTTATATTTTTAAATTATTCTATATTTTATTCCTTATCACTATTGCTTTCTCTCAGGACTTGGACTAAATTTTCAGGGCTAAGAGGACATCTTGCAGAAAGCTCATCTCTCTCTGTTTAGCCATCCTGCTGGCAAGTAATTTCCCCATGCCCATTCATCTGCTACCTCTTAGAGAAAAGTTCCTGATGCAAATGAGAGCATCAGGAACTTGCTCTTGCCTGCCCAAAGGAAACCAGCCATAAGAGTGAACACGCATGGTCCATGGATCCTCAGATTACAATAAACATCCCCTTTACCTGCACTTCCCTCTTCACGTAATCCCGTGAGCAAAACATTCAGTACCCTACAGCAGCTGCCTGGTTCACAAACAACTGTGAAGACAGTGTCCTATCTTTTCTTTTCCTGTTCCCAAATATCAGTGGCAGAATGGAAAAGGTAATAGGGGAAGAATGCTGGCAGACCACCTAGGAGAACGCTATCAAATGTGCTCCTGCCAACCAAGAACTTGATCGGTAACCTTAACCAGGAAGGTCAAGGAGTACCAAAACAGAGCTTAAAACTGAACTGCTAATTCAAATTATGAAAAATAACATCCCAAACTGTGGTTTGGGTTGCAAAGGGATCACTTTTATCCTAAGATAAGAGAGTCATGAGGCACTGTAACCCATCACTTAAGTATTCCCCAGTTCAGGGCCCAAGACCTGCAAGTAATTTTTTTTCCATTTACATGTGCTTTTACTGTTTTTACACTTCATACAGCTCTTGGGTTTATTAGTTCAGTAAGACCTGTTCACTCACGTGTGCTGAGAATGCTCTAATGCTCTGTGAAGCACAAATAACACAGAGCTTTACACCTTATTTGGTGTAAAAGGAGGAAAAGTGCTTGAGCAGAACACAAAAAAAAAAAAAGTCAGCAAGAAGCTGGCTTGTTGTAAGCAGACATTTATCAGTTATTAGTCATTAGTCGAAACTGATAATGATGGGCCGTCAAGCATAGGGCTTCTCATCTTTGTTTTCAATGATGATAAAGTGCTGCCTGCTGCCAAACAGTGCCTCAAAAAGGAGAAAGGTACTTAAAACTTGCTTCAGATGAGCAGCTGGGTGCATGCCAACTTTTTACATGAACAGTCATAAGCATGTTCCTGCACAGCAGGATGTGATCAAACTATTCAAAGCTGTAAAACCAGGTTTGTTTGCCAGTTACGTTATTGCTTCAAGATCAGTGTGTTACAGATGGTACTTTGCCAGCCATGAAACCACTGTTTTTCCTTAACAGCAAGTTTAACACCATTAATGTTTAAAACTCTGTATAGAACTGTTCCCAATTAAAAAAAAAAAAACAAACCCAAAAAAACCCCAACCAACCAAAAAAAAAAAAAAAAAATCAAACAAAACAACAAAACCAAACCAAACCACAACAAACAAGCAAAAAAATCCACCCCCCAAAGAAAACAAAAACACTTCTCCCCCTTCCCTCCCAGCCCCAAACATAAAACATTTACAGAATGAAAGTTCGGACTGAAAACGTATGGAACACAATCTCCTGGACTATGAGCCATCTCTTATTTAGCTTTAAGAAATCACTTCTGTCAAGCTGCACCAATTAATAGATCCCCTTCTCTAAACCAGAAGAAAAGTAATTGTAATGACTTACTCAACCTCAGCTTCAGCTGCCAACCCTGTAATCATATTAACATTCCTGTCCATAAGGTGTGATGTGTTTAATAGGTGGTTGAGACATTGCACTGTATTGCCTCCTGCTGGAAACTACTTCTTTAAAAGTATTTTATGAAGATCACACAATGTGACTATGCCATATGTAATCTTTATTAAATGTCTGTCACTAACCGAGCTACTCAAGCAAGAAAAAATTTTTAAGAAAGCAGAACTGTAGTACAACCAACTGGACAACTAATTTTTTCCTTGAATGGGTTAAGACAAAATTGAACATTACGGACAAGAAACTGATGTTTTAGTTCTCATGACAACCAGCGTCTTTTCCCACTTTCCTTTTAGAGGATCAGTCATAAAACAGGCTCAAGCTCCCCAGTATAACACAATATCTGTTAACTAACAAACAAAACATATCTTAGCAAATACAACCAAACAGTTGAGTTTGTTTTTTTAAGCGGGCTAGTACAGGAGAAGATGGATGTCAATGTTTAGCCATGCTTTAGTTGTTTGTTTTTTATTCACTTGAAAATACATACTAAAAGTAGTATCAAATATTTGAGTTTATACCATTTTATTTGTTTTCACACACACAAAAAGTAGTTTGCATATTTGCTCAGCAATCTAGTGATGATCTAAGACTACATACACATGCACAGCTCAATACAGTGATAGAAGTGCCTCTATCTGCTTCCTAGTAAGAAGTAATGTTCACATTTGAAATCTCAAAAAAATATGCAGAGGCTCTTAGGTGTTACAGCTTAAAAAAAACCCCCAATATTTTAATGACCTTTCCATGACATGGACAGTGCTCTTCATTTTTTGAAGAATAAAAAAAATTATTTAAGTAAAATTCAAATAGAAGAACCACAACTAGCTGACTCTTGTCAAGTATGCTGCAAAGCAGCCCAATTAAATATAATTTAATAGTATAACTACCAGAAAAAGTATTCCAAAACTGAAAAAGAAAGAAAAAAAAAAAAAGAAAGCAAACCAAAACACTTTCAAAGACTAGTTGAAAGTAATTTGTGTCTACCTGGTCACAAGAAATGCAGAGTTTATAGTGTCCTTCCCTAGGAATGTAACCTATTCCTTACTTCAAATCGAAGAAATGTGTTCAAGTAGTGAGGGCTTTTGTGTTACTGTTTCTTACTATTGTTTCTTACTTACCTTTTCCAGAGGATAGCCACATCATGCTAATGGTTTACTCTATTTCTGCTTTGTCTCAGCCTGTTCTCATCAATCCCTCCCTCATATTTGATGTCACCTCCACCAAAAAGAAAGATTTTAACTTGCATATGTTATGAATGCCTGAGGCAACCTCAGATCTAAATTCCAATAATTTGCATTTGTTATGCTAAGCATATACATCCTCCGAATTATATCTAGTCCCTTTGTGGTCTAATGTAGGAATCCCTTTCCTATTGTTCTTGCTGTTAGCACTGTAATAACTACTGCTATTGCAATGTTAACAAAAGACTACTAATAATTCAAGTACGGTATGAATTCCCAAGGAATCATCAAGTGAGAAATGCAGGTTGAAATGGTAGCTTCAATTTCTAGGACCTATTTTCTAGGTTCAAGAGTTACAGGCATAAAAGCATCATATATGTGAAAACACAAAACATGATCAATGCTATTATTAATTGCAAATGGTATCACAGTAGTACAGCTTAATATAAAATATTTAAATTTTCATTCAGTGAGGATTTATTATTTTTTTCATTTATTTTTTTAGCAGCACTAAAAAATACTTAACATTATCTGTGCTTTTCACTGACAGGCTAAAGATGACTTTGCTAGCTGTGGCACTCGAGTCATTACTGTATAAAATAATTACCTTTAATAATTCCTAAGCTGATCACTTGGAAAAAACAACTCCTTAAACAAGCAGCTTAAACATCAATTCAGTTAAAATGTATACTGAAATGCCCTACAACATTCTTCTGACATTCACAGAAGTTTTATGGTCCAAGTATGCCTGAAAGTCCACTTCAGCAAAGAAGTGAAACCTGACAAAATAAAAATAAAAGTACCAAAAGAGCCTTCACTCTTGCTGAAAGTTTTTCTGTTAAAAGCTGCTTGCTTTTCAAGTGCCCTATGTAAAGAAGAAAGAACATAAACTTTTGGCAGGACTATTGGATATTTCCCAGTAGTTATACTGCTCATCATTACTATAAAAGCAAAAGAAAGTAGACTGAAAAAGTAAAGTTCCACCACTAACATCTTCCAACACTAACATCTTTTGTAGTGCATACTGGATAGAGACACAACATTTTAAGCAGTAGGCAGATGAGGCTTTCAAGGTTAAAGCAAAGGAAAATGCAAAAACAACGACTGCAAGAAAGTGAAAATTACAGGGTGAGTAGAAAAGACTCTTTTAGCAGGAGACATCCCAATACAATATAAATTAAATCTACATTATCAATACTACCCAAGATCATAAACCTGACTTTAAATCTAATAGAAATTAGTTACATGTGAGCAAACTTCAGTAACTCATGTGAAAAAATCTAAATTTCCAATATTGGAAGAGTCAGATGACATTTCTTGCCTGGGATGAATACAGGAGGAGTTTCATCTAGTCTAAATCCTTGCATTTTCCCAGGAGACATCTCCCCTAGTTGGACTGCTCCTCCCTACAGCCTGGTCTATTGCGTTATAAATCTAGGTTAAAATCCAAGAAAGAAAACTTTGCCTGTGTGTGGGGAAACACAACAGAAAAACTTTTCCATAAGATGGGAAAAGCAAGAAGACTGCATGATGAAGAGAATGAAGACAGTATTCTTGTGCAAAAATAGGAAATTGCATGGAATGATTCATCTGAGCAGAAAAAGGACCTCAGGTTTTTTCAAGTCACATAGCAGAAGTGTAAAGACTTTGAGAGTCAAGCACCACATGCTGGTTTTTATCTCCTGAACATAAAGCAACAAAGAGACGAATAGCTTGCATTGTTGCATGTGTTACCAATTATCTTCCTTTAATCCATGTTTCTGCCACGTATAACTCTTTACAAATCCTTGAGTCCCAGTTAACTGTTACCCAGTGTATTATACCAATATAGCATACTACAAAACTAAGCTCTTAATAGCTTTTTAGATTGGTCAATACACTGAAAATTATTTTGCTTTAAAAAACAGGAGACAGCTAGTGCTCAGGTGAATCATTAATCAGTCCTTTACCACAAGGGCTCTCTTTGAGATTTTCAATAGAGAAAAGTCAAAAAAAAAAAAAAAAAAAAAAAAAGAAAGAAAGAAAGAAAGAAAGTGGTATTGAGTGCTTTCATACTTGTAGAGACTTACTTGGTACAAAGCAGCATCCCGTTGTTCTATTACTGCATTCATTTCCTCAGCTATTATTTTCTTTTTACGTTCTTTGGTCCTGTGTATTTGATTCAGAATTATAGCTCCGTTCTTCAGTATATCTATTCCTGTGTCTGCATTGTTTATTCTGTTCAGTAATTCCTGTAATGTCTACCAACAGCATTATACGTTAGTCAGACATGAAGTTTTAATATATTTTATTTAATATAGGGTTTTAATTAATAGGCACATGTGAATTGTAAATTGACTGAGTGAAGTTATTGAATTTTCATATTGCAGCAAAGATGTACATTATTAGTGTGTCAATTCTTCTTTTTCCCACATCTTAGTTCTTGAAACCCACTCAATTGAACTTAAGCCTCTAAGATATAAGACTGACATCAAGAAATCTCCTCAGAGAATGGCTTACCATGTCATTTTCTTCAGGGTTAATATTTTCTAGCCTAGAAAAAAGGGACACAGAAAGCCTGATCAGTAGCATTTCCTTAGTGCAGCAAAATGAGTTCGCTTTTTAAATCTTTAGAACCTCAAGTAATTTCATTCTACTAGTCTTTAGAGTCAACCATGACACTGAACATATTAAAGTGCCACCTGCTCGACTCCATCTTTCAATAATGCTCCATATCTTCGGCACTGACTTCAGACTGTTAAGTTATTAATGTTTACTGCTATATATGACTACAAGGATCAATTGTTCATATGTGCTTAGATGAAGAAAGTTCCCCAGTGATAGAAATGACTGATGCTTTTATTGTATTTATTTCTGGGCTTACAACTTTTACCTCACGTTGTATTTTTGTTGTTTTTACTGCACCCCAAACGAAACAGGACAGGACTTCTGTGGAGAGTTCTGGGGTGGGGTTTTTTTTTGGGGTTTTGTTTTTTTTTTGGTTGTTGTTTGTTTGTTTCATTTTAAAGTAATTCTTTTTTTCCACCTCTCTCTTCCAAAATGAGGAAAAAAACCTAGTTGAAGTTTCCTCAGATATATTTTGATTTTATATCTTGCAAAAAATAGCAAGCTAAGCCAAGTCTCTGCAAGCCCCTTATTTAATTCTGGAACAAACCCCTCCCTTCTGCACTTTCCTCCCTTTCTATTTCAATGGGACATATATTGACCTGTCAAATACAAAGATGATATGAATTTAGTCATACAGCACTGAACACAGGCTATACAAAAGCAGTGAGTCGTAGCACAAAAATCTAATAAATGACATAGTATGCATTTTATTTTACCCAAGGTTAGTTATATGGACAACACATTACTTAAAACTTATGTGTATTTTAAAATGGACAAGACCTCTTTTCTGGAAAAGTGAGCATATTAAATTTACCTTACTGCTCCATTGCTAGTTACTTGATGGTGATTCCTGCTAAAAGTAGTTCTGTTGCTAGCATATAATATTTTAAAAGACAGACATAGTGCCATTAAATAGCTAGTAAACAGCAACACACACTTTTCCAACAGTGCTACGACAGGTGCTGCTCTGAAGCCAAGATTTTGGCTAGTAAACATCATAGAGGACTTGACAACACACCAGCACCTTTTACATTAAAGCATTAGTTTTATCAGATAACACAACATAAGGCATACGAAATCAACCAGTAGAGAAATTAATTCTTTAAATAAAAAATAAAGAGTTCAGAATGTACTACCAGTGTACAACAGCTGGTATATTTATATGGAATTCACAAGCAGTATCTACTCTAACATATATAGTCAACACCAGAACTAAACAAAATAAAAGCTAACCTTTGCTGGGTTTGACTTGTATTCATAAAACAACACAAATCATAAAATAACAAACATATAAGACCAAATTTTCAGAACTGGCTCCTTGACTTGGCTCCTTGTAGAGTTTGTTACTGCTTTAGGTTTTTACATTGCTTTAAGTGCCACTTCATGTGGGACTTAAAAATGGATCCCCAGCTAGTTTGTATTCACAATGAAAGAAATGGTATTTGTCAAAGTAAATTGGCAGGACTGACCTGGCCTCTCTGGAGGACTTCTACCCTGCTAAAAGTGTGGGTCAACAAAAATCACCCAGCTGACCAACAGGCTGCATAAACAAGACACCTTAGGGGGACATGGGGTTGGGAAAAAGAACAGGAACTTTTACCATTACATACAGCCCTTCTGCATACTACTGCGAGACGGGGTCTGTCTGGAGGTATACATACACCTCATTAGGTGACAGTATTTTTAAAGAAGCAGCATCCGGAGCTGCGTATTTGCCCTGCTGCCTCTCCCTGTGCTGCGCACAGGCAATAAGCAACCCTTAGATCTCAGGATTTTAAACAGCAGTAAACAAGAATTCCTTTGCCCCCCATTTCTACATGCATTCTGCTAACATAACCCATATGGCCAACAGGACTGAAAGAATTTTGGTTGTTACTGTTAATTAATGACAACAGAATTGCTCCAGATGCTAATTTAAAGAAAGCATTAAAGCATTTGATAAAGGTTGACAGGCTGTTCAATACTGCCTTCTTGTAAAGATCTCTGATTGGAGTAAGTCCAAAGCAGACGGAAGGAGTGACCTGTGCTCTAAAACTTTATGAGTGCAGCACAAGTAGCCAATGCTTTTTAAAAAAACCCAAACCTCTATGTGCTTCACATCCGAGATAGAGAACATGACCTTTTGAACCACCAGCAGAAAATACTAAGGGTGGTATCTGGAAAAGTTCCAAGATTCCAGAAGAAACTCCAAAATTAAATAAAATAAACCCAGTCCTTTAAGGCTTATCCCATCACCTCTATTCCTTCCAAAGGATTAGTGGAGTGGTAAGGTGAACTCAAACAAAAAAATTCCATTCAGCCACAGTGATAAACTACTTAGAACGAAGAGGCTGAGAAAAGTAATCCCCTCATGGGGCTGACTCTGCTTCTGAGAATGCAGCACCTCAATTTGACTCTTCTCTGTCACAGTCCTGGCTTTCCCCTCCCATTGCAAAATGGCAGACATCCAGGCAGATATAGAAACGCATGTCTTGTCACCTCAGCTGAGATACTACCACAGTTAATAAAGATGCCCAGTGTTCTGAAAAGCCTGAGTGCTGGAGCCAGGCTGATGTTCAAGCAGGAATCTTGGCTCCACTCAACCATTTCTTTTTTGCAAGGTATACAGCTGCGTGAATAAGCATCCTGTAAACTTGGAACAAGTGGACAAGAAGAAAAGCAGCTGAGCATGATGGAGGCAATCCTGCCTTCTTGGCTCTATAATGTCCCAAAATCTCAAAACCAGCAAAAAACTTTCTTAAAAAAAAAAAAAAAAATCCCTCCCAACTGCCCCACAAACCAGTAATGACCACAAGAAATGTAATTTCCTGGGCTTGACTCTTCCCAATGACTTGCCATTGCCACAGTCGGTCTCTGTAATACAGAATGGGAGACCCTGGAAAATATTGCAACAGTACACATGCAGCCTGGCAAGGACAATTCCTTTGAATTAAATTGGTTTTGTCCCATTGTCTAGCGTCCTGGTTAGTCCATTGTAATTTTTACCTGTTGTGTTGGTGTTCTCCACAGGGAAATCTCCAATACCAATTCTGAAACTGTGAATGGCAAGTCCTCTCTATAAAGCATCAGAAAGAGCACCCAAGTGGATAACAGTGACAGTTGCTATTCTCTAGGTGATAGCTATAAAATACAATAGCTTTGCTACAAGCTATCAGCCAGCCAGGGGAATTGTTGACCCTGTCCTTGGAGCAAGAACTTTTTTGTCATTGCCAGGGTACCCAGTGCCTTCTGCAATGATGCTCTTTTGGGGAAGGTAGAATGCATTTTCTCAGAGAAACTTTCTTCTCTTTTCTCATCCTTCTGCTTAGAACTGAGTTGGTCTTCCAGTATGCGAGTGAAGCAGACAGAAGGGGTTGAGGGGTAAACAAGTGATTCAAGTGTGTCTATGGATTCCACAGAATACACAACAATGCACCTCTCACACACTGAATAACCTGTGATTTCTTCCAGAAAACCAAAAGTCATTGACCAGGGCTATCAACCAGAATAATTAATTAATAATTAATAATTAAGATCTTGAATTTAAGCTAACAGCTTCTACATAGTTTCATTTGATGTTTGGGGCCATACAAAACTTTCTTGCTTTCTTTACTCTTGGAGCACAGAGAATTAGAAGAGGGACAGAAGAAATTGAGAAGACTGAGTAAGGCTCATGGTTATGATGCCTCTTAAAGGAATTTAAAGCATGTTTGTAATTTCCTCAGAGATTGATGCAAAGAGCAAGATTTCAGATGCACATACGCCATAATGAGCTCTGTAGAGACATTTACTCTAACAAACCATGCACTAATTCTTGTGGGAATGGAATCTTCTAATCCTGCTGTTGAGCCATATTTACAAGCTGTGACAAACTCTAGTAACTTACAAATTTCACAGAGTAATGGTGCACAAACAATGTGCAGATTACTGAAATTTATTTAGATATCATTCTGTGGCCTTACCTACTAAAACAGTCCAAAGATGATGACTGATTTTCAGCCGTAAAGAGAGAAGAGTGTTCTTAGCAGAATCAATTATTTAAAACATTTAATTAACTAACAACTGCACCTATACAGTCTCCTACCATGAGAAACTTCTCTGCTTTGCATATCTTTTGGCAGAAAAATAGGAGAAATTTCTCAGCCACTCTAGACTTCAAAGGACTACCATCGATGGTGGCCAAGATGACCACAACTTGGATGGAGAAGAATTACATGGAGAGGCAAACTGTAGCTTCAGAGCTGCCTATATCCTGAACTAAGAAACTATTCTTGATCTTCCTCTCCTGACTTAAGTTTTGTTTAACATGAAATTGACTATTTTTGTTGCATTAGCATGGCATACATAAAACTCTATGAAGTATTAATTATATCCTTACTGCCTTACAAACTGCTCCTACACTGGAGATAAGAAAAACATCCATATATTTTTACTACATCACCCACCTTGTCAATAGAAATTTTTTCTGAAGGAAATGTCTAGTGGGCTTAAAGGCTTGATTGATTTCCTATACATTGCAACTTCTGACTGACATTCTGGTATTCTCTGTCAAAAGATCCCTATGAAATGTCGCATTTGTCTTATTTATGCCTGAATAAATCAATACCAAAGCTTTTGATTATATTTTTAATTTTTCAAACCAAAATTACTCACCTCTCAATCTCCACAGAAAAATATGGTCTCATAGGATGGCTAGCAAATTAATCTGTAGCACAGTCCGACTAGCACTAGCCTGGTATGCCACATTAGAGAAGTTTGTGCAAACTTTTCCCATATAATCACTGTCAGTTTATGACAGTCAGAGACTTGACACACAACTTCTTTGTACAGGACAGGAAAAGTATACTTACTCTTTGAGACACTCTTCTAAATGCTGGACTCGTAGAAATGCTTCATCTCTCTCTTCATTGGCTAACCTAAGCCTTGCCATGACAGCCTCATCACGTTCCCGTTGAGCAGAATAAACTTCCTCCACTAGAGCTGCAGAAGTAACCAGTATGTTTAACAAACAAGTTTGACAAGGAAAGACACTATTAGATGCACTTACATGGGCCTTCGCCAGCATCTCCTAAAATCAACATTTCTCCACTGACCTTGGATTACTCTGGATAAGGTCTATATTACTCTTCAGACACAACACTGAATTGCTGTTGATTGCTAAAATGAATACTTTAATGAATGAAATAAAGCTATGTGTTTTCACATTCACCTCTGTATAATCAAGCAGGGCAATGAAGTGATTTGCTTTGCATTCTGAATACTTGCTTAATGGAAAAGTAATTCTTAAAGCTCAGAATCATGAGACACTAGTAGGTTTCTTCTAGGACATGGAGTTAAAAGTAATGATCCATTAAAACTACTTCTACTGTCACGCTGCTTCCTATCAGTGTGGCATACTGATATTAAATATTAAAAATTCTAATATTTTCATACTCTGTCTCTGGTATCACAACAGTGGCACAGCTGGCATCTATCCTTCTCTGGCAAGCCTTTTCTTTATTGTGTAATATACTGTTATATTATCTGTTTCGGTATACATGGACCTTGGAGTATTAGGTGCCAATAAACTAAGATTTACTGTCTATCCTTGGGAGCAAACTAACACCTTCAAGTCATTCCTCATCCTGAACTTACGTTTTCTCCCTGCCTTTCCCCTGTCAATATGTCTAACACCATCTCTGGCACACTGCCAGAATCCTTACCTCGACCCTGCCTACACTAAAATCTTTATTCATACTTTCATCATTTCCCTCTGCAATACTGCAAATCTCTCCTCTCAGTCATTGTAAAACCCTGCAGTCGAAATAGTTAGGGACCTTCAGGATGCCATAGTAAGACCGCTGTCACTCCAAGACAGAGGACTGTATCCTCTCGAATTGTCACAGGCACCTCCAAAAATCTCAGCTGAAGTCTGTGAGTTCCAGAATTCTCCATGCTCCCGTTCTAGTCTGCCAAGCTGATGTTTAGCCACAGTCTCCTAAGACCATACTACAGTGTCTTTTAAATGTTGGCATTTGTTTCTCAAGCACTTCATGTATTAAGCCATTGCTGCTGGGCTTCCTTAACTGCTTCAGAACTCTCTGCCCCTCTCTGAACCACTCCTTATATCATTAAGTTAAGATGTCAAAGGAAGGCTTCCTCCCTCTTCACTCTCGCCTAGAGCTCTTACCCCTCCATTCTTACCTCAGTTGATGTCAACTTTGTTGCCTTCATACGTTAGTTTATTCTTACTTCGCCTTTGTACATTGTTGTATGAAAACTTAATAGAGTGATAGAACATAAAACACTTTATGGTTCTTCATAGAATAGAAAAATAGGAACATAGTAGTACATTTTGGTAGCAGCTATATTGCTGCCACACAATACACTTTAGCAGTACTGAAAAAAAACCCCACCAAATCCAAACTCCCCAACTAACTGAAACACACAAAGTGACAAGTTTCTGTACAGTTCATAAGGAGCTAAAACAACCAGGGACATAAGACAACTGAGAAGATGAATATTCATCTCCCAAGAGATGAATTAGGAAGATGTTCAAAGTAGGAAAGCAATCCTCTTGTTCTCAAGCTGGGGAGAAGAATGTTCCTGAGGAGTAAAGAAACATTTTTTGCAAGTCTAGCAAAGGTTGCATGATAACAGTAGACTGGACAAAAGATGACAGGAAAAGGCTAAATGTTACTTCTGGAAGTTCAGTCCCTCCTCTCACAAAAATCAGCAGAGGAGTTGCAAACCTAATCAACAGGCCAGACCTGTAACGAGTTATGTCCCATCAAAACAACAACAAAACCAAACCAAAACAAACCAACCAAACAAAAGAATATTCATTATGAGAAGCATAAATCTCTGATTTAATTCTCTCCTATTTAAGTATTTACTCTTTCCACAAGAATAGTGTCTCTTCTTGAAGGTCTATTTACCCTGTTTGCAACAAGAGAGCTTTGCTTGATGTGGAATGGAGAAACTAAGGCACGAGTAAAGCAGCTGCAAAGCTGCATGCACACAGGCATAAGTTTGCACCACTTGCAGAGGTTGAGTCCAGTATCTGCAAAGGTAGGTGGCTCAGCAAGAAAAGAACAAGGTGGGTGGTGCATTTCAGCTCACCAGGCCTCCACTTAGGCTTCTGAGATCTGTAGTGGCAGGGAAATCAGTGCCTCAGCATTGACTACATAGCTAAGCTGCAGTCAAACGGCTATGTCCTGTTTTGGATCTGGAACACACAAGCAGTTTAATTCTGTATGATAATTATTACCTACCTGTACCTTAACATATTTTTTTACTATAGTTTTCCAAGTCAATTATGTCAGTTTATCTAGCATCATGTCAGAGGCACTACACAGAGAACCCTTTCCATAAAGCTGCAAGTGGAAACATTATGAAATTTTCATAATGAAAACAATCACTGGAACGAACAAAAAACTGTCTAAATTCACTGAAGATCTGGCACTTACTACTTTTCTGGGGTTAATTAGTTTCCAGATTAGTTAGCTTCTTTCTAGTCTCTTTGAGTGCATCCCTTCTTCTGCCAGACCTTGTAACACGCCTACCTCAGCACAGAAAACCATAATTAGCTGACTGTTACAATGGATTTTGAGCATATAGGTCCACTTAGAGGTACTGTGTTTTGGCATATCTAATTGCCTCTCTGTGTAACTATAACTAGTGGTAATAATGACCATACAGGTTTTTAAAAAACAGATTATTGCTTATTTGTCCTTAAACCAAAGTAATACATAACAGTATGAAAACATTCAGAAAAAGTTACTTAAACATTCAGCTTATCTCAAATCTTCCCTTCCCTGATAGCAGCCCAGAGGCTAATTGCCTTGAACAGTGAACCCTTCCCCCACCCAAAAGTCCATTACAAAATACTGTCTTTTAACTATTCTCTATGGAAAAACAGTTTAAATTGAGCAACTCTTTCTTGTTGTTTTCTTGACCTTCCACTAAATTAAGGCATTGGAGTAAATATCCCAATGACCAGATCCACCAGCTACATTAAAAAAAAATAAAATATTGTAGTAGTTCCACATCAACTACAAGTGTCTAGCTTTTGCTTTTATTTTCTAAAAGTAATACTGCAATTTATTTTTTTCATATTAACACAGATCAGGGAGAGTGTAGAAAATCATGTAAGATGCCTGCATGGTAAAGTAAGATTTTCAAAAGATAAAAAAAAGAGATACTTAGTTACATGGCATTTTATACCATGTAGCAATACTGACAACGACCACAAGAAATAACTAATTTAAAAAATACCTAATGTCTTCAGCTAACTCATTTTAACAATCTACACAAGGCTAACTCACCTGATACTTTTAACAGCCAAATCTTCTGTTAAATGTAGGTTAGACACTTCTGTTACCTGATGCCTATGCATTTCTGGCTCTATTTAATGTTTCACAAATTTTTTTATTTTATTTTTTTTAACATTATATGGAATATTAGAATAGCTACATAGTTGCAGGTAGCCCAAAGCATGATGCTGTTAACAATAACATTCACCATTCAGATTAAGCTATGGATGAGTCACAACTAAAAGTTCTGAACTGTAAGGATCACAGGATTCTTCAAATAAGCCACTGAAACACATATACCATTGGCTTGTAATGCAGCAGCAAACCAAAACATTTTGTGTCATATTTAGGAAAGTACACGAAATGTAAGCTGTCCAAATGAAGCCTATAGGAGAGTGTGACATAAAAATCCTGCATACTAAAAAAAGGTAAGGAATATCCAGATTATCATACTCATGCTCCTTAAAAATGCCAGACAAAAACTGAGAGTAACTAGTCAGGCTGCTAATTCCCTTTCGAGATATGGCATATCCAGCAAAAAACTAGCCCCATGCTGGCACACTGACTTGATGTCTGATGCAGTTAAAAAAGTGATCCAGCTACTTAGTCACCAACTGCTCTGGTCGACACCATGAGGTTTTTCTTGGAGACCTTCCAACAGTGCACCAGCCAACCCTATCCTGTTTACCTTGAGGCTTGACCAACAAGAAACATAAATTCTTACAGAACTCACGTTTCAAGCAAGAAAATGTCACACAAAAATGAAGCATGAATAGTTAAGTATTAAACTAAAATGAATTATTTCATTTACTAATTAATATACATACAATGACATTCAAGAGTTACAATATTTAAAACTCATAGCGCTAAATTAAAAAAAAAAAAAAAAGATTATTTTCCAATGCTTGCAAACATTCTAATATATAAAAACATGACATTACTATTTAGTTGCATAAACTTTATTTGCTTTGGAATAATTTAATAACATCTTTCTTCTAACTAAAACCCCTGCATACCCTAAAACAGCTCTTTATTTTAAAAGAATCATTATGCTAAACTCATCAATTCTAAAACATTTTTAGTTTTTAGTAAAGAAAACAATTGTAAACAGAGAGCTTTTGTAAGGTAGATAGCTATTACAAAGTTCACTTAGAAAATCAATATAGCATTTTAGCTGGAATTTGCTCATTAAACACCCACAGCTCTAATGCAAATTATGATGGAATGAATAAAGCAAATACATATGCTTCTTTCTTTTTATTAAATGTAAAATCTACTGTTAATTGCATCTGGTATGTCATATAAACTTTTCTCCTTAACTATTAAATGGAAGCTTTTACAAAAGTCATTAGAGATTCTCTTTCTTTGACTTGTATAAATTTCAATATTTGTTCAGTAAAGGTTCACAGCAGTTAAATTACATTAACAAATATTATTAGCTACTATGTAAGCCAACTAAGTAAAATACTTATATTGCAGGTAAAACAAATCAATGGATGTTTACAATAATATTTGGATATGTCCATTTTTAAACAAGCTTATCAAATATCATGTAATTCTTAGTCAAATGAGAGAGACTCAAAGTAGATTTTTTCTTCCCAAATACTCAAATTTGTTTAGTAAGCTAATTGTTTTCTAATATGGGCAAAAGTAAATATGAAGAAGATGAACCATACTGAGTATGAG